CGGGAGGAGGGCGGGGAGGGTGGGGGGGGAGAGGGGGCGGCGGATCTTCGAGGAAATGGGAGCGCTTAATCGGAAGAATCGCTCGTGGTCGAAAGCGCTTGAACCTTAAACGCGGATCGGTAGCTCCGTCTCGCCAGCTCCTCCACTTTCTTCCGGAAACACTCTAAATTTTTCAGTTTCTGCTCGTGATCGGAACTGTCGCCCGCGCCGCCGTCGCGCCGCTCCTTGCGCGTCGTCTCGCTGTTCTTCCCGCCGGTGGAGGAGACGCCCGATTTAATGCCGCTGTCGGGCGTGCAAGGAACTTGCAGCCACTTGTTGCTCGGCGTCGAGGTTCCGTCCTCGCGCCGGTCCTTGCTGGTGCTGCTGCCGTTCGCGCAGTTCCTCGAGTCGGCGGCCTTCTCCTCGTCCGAGCAATCGTCGACCTTCCGCCGTTTACTCTGGCTCTTGCCGGAGCCCTCCGGGTGTCGAGAACTGTTTTTGCACTTGCGGTGTTTCTGCTTGTGCGCCTTCGCTGACGCGTCCGAGTCGGTTTTAGAATGATTACGCTTGCCGGGAGCGTTATAGTCCTCAGAACTGCTTTCAGGATCGCTGGTGCTGCAGCTCGAGCGCTTACCGTCCTTCGCACTGCTGACGTAACGCGATCGCCGGGAGATCACCCCGGAACTGGTGCTGGGCTGAGCCGCGTCGACCGGCGGTATCTCGTACTCACTGTCGGAATCACTATTGACTTTTAACACAGTACATTTTCTTCTGACGAACGGTCTTCTTCTGCCGGACAGTTTCGTGTGTTTCCTCTTCACGCCCTTCGATTTCGTTTTCGATTTCGATCTACGTCTCGCGTGCGCATTGTCCGCCTCGCTGCCGGAATCCGAGGCGGACCGTCCTACCGCGGCGGCCATCCGCATGAGCTTCTCTCTACGATTTGCGATGAGCCGAGTTATACGATTTGGCGACTCTAACGATCGTTCCGGCGCCACGCCGCCTTCTGATGCCGTAGTGTCTGCAAGAAAAAAATGAACGAGTCGTTCGAATCCTTGGTACAAAAAAGTCTTTGCATAAAAAAATCGTAATTGAAATTACAGAAAAATTATAGAGCAGAAAAGTATGCATACGAAAATTAGCGTTTCAAGCGTAAGACAGCTGTCATGTCAAAAAGGAAAAAAAAAAGAAAAAAAGAAAAAAAAATTGGATTTTAATCATTAAATTCCAAAAATTGAATAAAATCCAATTATTAAAATGGAAAAAATTTAGCTTTTATATCCAAATTATTTGATCGAAGCAATACTGACGCCATAATTTTGCACTTTGTTCCACAACACAAATATTTTTAGAAAAAAAAAAATTACATTTCTTCCGCGAATTATAATTCTTTCTTATTTTCATTAATAGGAATCGTCCGAAGATGTACCGTCGTTATCCGTCGCGTTGTACGGTTCATTCGGATTGATCTCGGAATCGCTGGGAGTGTGCGGCGCCGTTGGCACGTCCTCGGAGCTCCAGCCTTCGATTTCACGCTGCACGAGAGAATCGAAGAAGGCCATCATACGCGGGTCTTCTTTGGTCGACTGGTGGCTGTAATCGTGCGTCATGAACTGCCCGCTACGCAGCACCAGCCCTATGTACTCGTCGTGCGTGAACACTCGGCGCTGTCTCTCCCGCTTGCCGGCATCCCTCTGCGAGAAAAAAAAACGGTGCACGGTGACGAATAGTGCCGGGACTATGCGGTTGTAAGGGTTTATTGTGAACAGCGACAACCTTCAATCCTCCCAGAGATCCCTCTCCGAGCGGAAACGGACTCCAGATCTTTATGATCTTTTCGACGCCGGACGACGCGAAGATGCAGCTCGCTTGGTTGTATCGCACCTGATTGACGATCGATCTGTGACCGCGCAGCACCATGTGAGCGGAATCCACCATGACTGGCCATGGTTTGCTATCCATCGACGGAATCTTCCACATGTACAGATTGAAATCATCCGAACCTGCAAATTTAAATACGTAAATCGCTGGTACATCATTATAACTTTTTTTTGATAAAATGGAATTTGTTTTTATAGAAATTAGCATCTCCGTTGGAGATATTTGAATTATTCCAACACTTTCTAATTTGTTCACTTTTATTTTCAGGGAAATAAAATCGAAAATTTGCCGAGCAACTCGATGCATTGTTCACCAGAACAAAGAAATAAGCTTACGAAACTCTAAAGATTAAGCATACACACAGCGTGAGCTGCAAAGTAAATTGCGTCTATTTTTGCACTTCTTATTTACCAGAGAGAACGTATTCGTCATTCTCGCCGGCGAAACAGCAAGACTTCATGGTGCAACTGTTGTAATATCCCGGATGATCGAACTCGCAGAGGTACGCAGGAGAGTCGATCGCGTAAAGAACCGGCGGTAGTCTTCTTCGTAAGGCCAGCAGTCGGTTGCCCGCTGAATTAAACCTGACATTCATGCAACTCTGTTGCGGGCTTCCGTAACACAATACAGGCCTGCGGACACAGAACGTGAACCAGTTAATAAATATTCATAATCGCATCTTAAATATTTCACATTTGCCTTTGCAATCAAACGCCACTTTGCAAAACGATTACTAAACACGCATCTCCACTCACTCCAAAGGTTTTCGCACGTCCCACATACTGACGCCTTCCTTCGCATTGGCAGTAGCGAGCATTCTGGGATCCGCGGGATTAAACATGACGGAATGGAAGGCGCTTTTGTATTGTGCCAGGCAGAAAGTCTCCGTGGTGCTGGTGCTGCGTATATCGTAAATCAGGACTCTACCGTCGTCGCAGGCGCTGGCAAAGACATCGTCATTGTGCGGATGAATGGACAGCCCGTAGACAGGCTTCTCGTGTAGGAAGTAGTTGAGAACGTCGCTTCTGCAATATCGGAGCGAAACATCTTACGATCACGCGGGGTACGACATATCACTTCGATCATCGGGAGAGATACTTACGTTCGCAAGTCATGGACGATGACTTGGTCGTCGTTTCCCGCGGAGAATATCTTGGTCTTGCTGCTGTCGTAACCGAGGCAGAATATATTGCTAACATGTTGGGCTTTCATCACGGTGGGCTTGCCCATACCCTGTATCGCTTGCTCCACTCTCCACAGCAGAACTCTTCTGTCGTCGCCCCCTTGGAAACACAAGACGTCACAGTGTAAGTTCTTGGTTATTATTAGAATATATCTCAAATTTATCTAGCGACTGAGTTGTACGAGAGATACGCGTATTTTTGTGACCGAAGTCGAAGAAAAAGTACAAATTTCTCTTCCCCAAACATCAATATTTCCATTGAATTCGAAATCAACGGGCACTGTGTTGAGAGGAGAAAAAGATCACGCGATAAGTGTGTCACAAAATCGGGCGAAAAATCGAAAATAATTCAGACCGATGTTTCGATTGTTTGGACTGACGAATCCAAAAGACAACAGATCTCATTTCAACATTATTGCAAATTGAAACGACGTGTGATTGAAGTTATGCCGAAACGAGATCGTGAATTATTGAAGCCTCTCGTCTTTTACGAGGTGAGAGATAAGATTTGAACGTCTGACTCACCGGACACCAGCAGATCACCCTGGTTCGAGAACTCGATCGCGTTGACGCATCCGTAGTGGGACAGCAGGTCCTTCCTGTAGAGGTTCTCGGAGTTCTCGAATCTGGCGTCGACCAGGCTCCTGCAGTAGTTCACCTTGTCGTCAATCTGTCGCGCGAGCACATACGACAGCGCGCTGCACTCGGACGGATAACCCATGATCCTGCCCTCGCCCGCCGTCTCGCGCGACTGTCGCGAACGCCGACGTCGTCGTCGGAGGCTGGCGGCGCGAAACCGGACGCAATCCACCATCTTCCATGTATCGCCGCGCGACGACGTTGACGTTGTCGTCGCCGTCGTCGCCGTCGTCGCCGTCGTCCTGTCGTTTCCCGTCGTCGTTCTGATTTTTCCCCCGCGACGCGACTAATGGTATCCTCTCCGCGCCCGGCACGGCGTGGAAGGACGCGAACGTAAGCGTCACCGAGCGCGGCTACGAGGGGAAGGAGAGAGAGAGAGAGAGAGAGAGAAAGAGAGAAGAGCGAACTCTCCCTTCGCGCAGCACGGGATCGTCGAACACTTGGCGATCGTCGCGCTTCCGTCTCCTCTCCTTCTCGTGTGTGCTGCTCGCCTCGCGCGAACGTCTGTGCGATCCCCGCGACGGGAACAGGCGCTGGGGAATCGTCGTCCGCGTGTCACGCTCGCCTGCGGCCCCCGCACACTCGATACTCAACGTCCAACAGCGGTGCACGAGATCGGAATCTCGAATCCGAAACGCCACGACGCAGCTATGTGTACACACACAGCTCCTGCTGCCGTCAGCTTTGCTCTATCACCAACCACTACCACCACCGAACACACCACCAACGCGACTAACGTCCCAATCCGATCGGCCAATCGTCCGTCTCGTCCCGTCACTGCTCGTCCTGCCCGATCAGCTGATCGTCGTTCGGTGTCCCCCGTGCGGTCACTTCCGTCGTCTCGACGTCGTTCGCTCGCTGCCGCTGCTTATCACGTTTGCAACCCCGCGCTCTCACGCAAATGTGTAACCGCATTCTTGTGCATATGCCGCGGTGAAATTGCGATCAATCGTTCGCTCGGGCTGATACGGCGAATCACTCGCTGCACACTTCCGTATTCGCGATACACAACGTTCGGACACGACGTACGAGACCCAACGTAAACAACGCGGCGAGTCATGGAAACTGGCGGCGCATCGCGGCCGCTGCACGTACTGCTTACCGGTCCACCAGGTGCGAATCGGGAGGGATGATTCGAAAATAGAGAAACTTTTATTCCGTAAAATATAAAATGTTCATTCAAAATTAAATTACGTGAAAATATGGCCATTTTTATAACCTACGTTTTCACATAATTTCACTTTTACAATCGATAGAGCCAGAATCGTATATACTTTCATTAATTAAATGTATTTTTCAATTATATTCCGTTTAATGCCGTGTTGATACTCGAGTACCCAGATATCTTAGATATTACTCGAATATTTGGCTAAAAAATTAAAAATTTTACTCTAAAAAATGCAAAATAAAATACGGGTTGTTTCGAATAGAATTATAATATCGTTTTCCTATTCGCATAAACAAGCTGATAAATAATATTTTATATTGTCGCTGTTATCAATAATTTCTAATAAGGCATCTTGCTTCGAATATTGCAAATTATGATCGGCAAATATTTTCTTACAGAAAATCACCCTTGTTCTCCATGTAATATTAATAAAACGTCGTACTAATTAAAACAATTTTTGCAGGTATAGGAAAAACTACAGTATGCAAGAAGGTTGCATCTGCACTGGAAAAAAATGGCAGCAGGTTCGACGGGTTTTACACAGAGGAAGTGCGAGATCAAAGCGGCTCCAGGATTGGCTTCGACGTTGTGAGAGTAACAGATCCCGGAAGGAGATTGTCCCTGGCACGATTGAAGTGCGCGTTTCCGTCTTCGCAATAATAACAAAACACGTAACTGAATGCATATTGTATTTAACATTTCTTTCATGCACAGAAGCTTAACAGAGGCGCAAAAGGACTCCAAGTATCAAGTAGGAAATTATCGTGTCTTCCTGGACAATTTCGAGGCAGTAGCGCTTTCGACATTGGATTCGGATACTGTAAGAGCGACGGCTTTTCTTAAAACAAAACTCGGCTACAAAATTCAACGGCGTTAATTATATCTTTGCAGGATATATTGTTCATCGACGAAATCGGCAAGATGGAGTTGTTCAGCAAAGACTTCAAGAAGAGAGTAGCGGACGTGTTGCTTGGTTCTTTTAAGAAAGCATTCGTGATCGGGACAATTCCGCAGATACACAAAGTGCCACAACAGCACGCGATGCTATTCGAGAAGCTGCACGCAGACGCACGAATCAAGATTATAAACGTGTCCCATGGAAATCGGAATAGCTTGCCGGAGGAAATTATGCGTTACTTTTCGTAAGCTCGATTAAAATGTTCTCTTAATTTATTGCGTCATCACACCTTCGCACGTCGCGTAAAAGAAAATATCGCTTTCTATGTACATTATAAACATTATTTATTATTAACAAAAAACAAAATGTTAGATCAAAGAAGTCCTTCCAATCACAATAGATTTGTAAAAAAGTCGTCACAAATAACGTGACAAGTAGTGATTGGCTGGAACCTTGTACTACATAATTATGCTAGTATGCATCTTATGTATTCTCATAATAAACATCGTATCTCATCGGAACCCCACCATTGGTCGTTAAAGAATCGATTAAAAGGGTCGCGATGTATTTAATAATTCAGTGCGCTTCGTATAAATAGTGAATTATATAAGTTAAAACCTTGGAGAAAAGCTTTCTCCAAAATACGTTCTTTTCTTCTCTTTATATATGTGTATGTGTGCGCGAGCACGCGGACGCAATATATATATATAAAAAAAAAATGGGAGTATCTTTAACGAGCAAGGTGGACATAGATTGAGGGTACAAAATAGAAACGTTCTCTTCGCGTTATTTTATTATAAACGAACACAAATCGCTAGTGAGTCGTCTTTCCTTTTTCTTATTGTAGATAAGAAAAACTCGACAAAGTTTGTTTGTTTGTTTGTAAAAATAAGCAAACTTTTCTCGCTTTTGTACCCATCAATATTATGCATTTCTGATTGCATGTACTTTATGATACAGGGCGGGGGATTCGTCATGATCTCCTAGAAAGAATACAATCATTATTGTTTGCGGAGAAGCCTAAAGTGTCTCTTACCTTCTCCGTTTCGGTATCAAATATATTACGCACACTTTGATTGGGCTACTTGCATTTCAGTTATTATTATTCATTTATCAATAATACCTAGGATGTGTTCCACTAGCACATGAACTTTAGTAGAGAATTGGCGTAAGCCATCGGCCTTACATTCGGATGAGGCTGTAAACGAAACGAGTGCGATCAATAATCTGCACGTAATCTTAAATACGACGAAAGCGCGAACGATTTGATCGAAAGTTTCAAATAAGAATTACGCACCATTGCTTCGTATGACGTGAAGTAAGGTTTCATATCTTTGCCATTAAGTGTGATAAAGGCACCTTGGTTACCCATAGTATCACTGAAAATCAACGTGCATCATTAGCTAGGCCGCAATCCAATCAGAGAGCGTATAAGCGATATTTTATTTTATGCGACGTACCAGTAATTTGGAGCGGAGAATACTGTGATACACTTTCCGTCATGTCCAACTTCATAGCCGTCGTTCTTCACCTCGTGGCTTCTCACGACATAATCGAGATTATTTATCCTAAGGAAATTCTGCGTGACGTCAGGTCCGAACTGAACGCCCACGCCTCTCTTGCTGGGCGCCCGGCCTATTTGCGGTTGCGGATCTGACCACAGCAATTCGCACATTAATCCTTCGTCGGGCGGTTGCCTATTTCTGTCAATTTCCCTGATTTCTTGCAACGTCACGTCGTCCCGCGAAAACAACCCACCGTGCATCACCTGTGGAATTATAATTATATAATAATTATAAATCATTACAAGCGAAATATTGTTCAGCAACCATGATTTACACATAGCATCGATGACACATAAAAATTTACAATACTCACGAGCACTCTATTGTTGAGGCAGTGTGCAAGAGGGAGCCAATTGTATACTTCTGTGAACAATTCCGCCATCTGAGCTGAGTATTTAGCTTTTACCTCACCGTCGAATCCATACATTTGATTCATTGTTGCTGACTCGTGGTTTCCTGAACATATCAGATTTCTCATAGAGGTGTACTTCAATTTTAGGACATAAAAAACGATTACATACCTCTCGACATGAAAAAGTGATTTGGGTATAATAATTTAAAACCAAATAAAGTAAATATGCATTCTACGGAAAAGGAACCTCTATCTACAAAATCTCCATTGAATAACTACGCAATTGTTAAGAAATATACTTTTAAATTCTTACGTGAATTCTTATATGATATTAGTCCAAGAATATATCGTTTACATGTTCATATGTTAATAATGCACAAACTACATAACTTATTTTTACTGCTACATCTATTCTGATAAAGGATACATATGGATTAGTCTCCGATGGCAATCCATTCAACTTAAATATATTAAGCAAGTCGTAATATTGACCGTGTATGTCACCACAAATAGTGAATTTGCTATCTTCTGGGATTTTAATGTCCACTAAACTGGGTTGTGCCATAAACCACGATTTAACGTCCAACAAGATTTTGTATGCATATTTACGATGTAATTTATTTTGATTCCTATACCACTCTAATAAGTCTTGCATAAACTCCAGGGTGACTTTTCCATCGACCAATTTAGGCCCTGTGTACTCATCCTCAATAGCTATAAAATCAATTTTTGCAAGGTAATATATCGAATTTTTACTTTTAACAAATTAAAAAATTGCATGGATATTCAATAAGTATATATTGTTAGAGAGTTTCAAAGTCTTAATATTATTTCAAATATGATATATTTACAATATGATAAATTGAGAAATTGAATTTATATTGGAAAATGATATTATACAAGTGACAATTACTATAATCAAATGTATTAAAATTTGTTTCAGAAAATTTGTGCGGTTGAATACTCACCCATAGCTTCTAGATTAATCATATCGGCTATATTTTTCTTCTCTTCTACGGAGATCGCTTTTTGAAAAGCTAACATTTTAACCATTTTACTACATTCCATAAATCTGTCCTTCGCATCCTTATCGTTAGGTCTGGCCTTTACAACAGTTTTATAATCTGTAAGAGCCAGTTTGAACCTGCCAAGGGACATGTAAGCGGCTGCTCTGCGGTAATAACCCTTCACATAATTTCTATCTAACTCGATAGCTTTAGATGCATCCGTCAATGCATATCCGAAACATTCTGTTCTCAGATAAGAAATACTCCTGTTGCCGTAATAAACAGCTACTGATGGATTTAATTCTATGGCTTTGGTATACAATTCAATAGCTTTGTTATACACTTGATCTGAAATGAAAAAGTGGGATATAAAACGGTGAGTATAAAAGAGCAATTAGTTTGCTGTTCACAGTTATTTACAAAATTGCATCATATTATTCACGTGTAAAGATACAAAATTAAACATCTTTCTGATTACAGTAAAAATGGGACCTCGCACGAGTCTCCTAATTTGGAAATTTATTCGATTATCCGCATTGGAAAAAGAATTATTTAACGCTCTTCGATGGAAATTTACTTGCACGATCTCGCGACTCTGTTGCATTGCGGAGGTTAGTTCGGAGGACACGCACACGTGACTGAACGTGAACATTAAATTGGAACGCATCCAGCGGTATGTATATCGCATGCACGTACTTTTGAAATACTCGTTCGCCTCCTCCTTGAACAATTCCGCCCTGGCTCCATCCCCCGCTTGCGGTACTGCCGAGATTTCCGCTCCTCCGTTTTCGCTCATCCTCGGTTATATCGCGCCGTGAGTGCGTGCCGCCGAACCTCGTTTAACAATGAACCTAGCGGCGGCAAACTGACGCGAAAATTACTGGGAGTCACGCGACGTGTGCAACGACAAATCATGCATCAAAGTGCGGCCGACCAAGTACGCTTTTTTCTCGTCGCATAAGAGAACGTGCACTTTCTTATACCGCGACCGCACCGTGAACGCGTGAAGTCCACTCCACTGCTAGCCTCGCTGGTAAGGGTGTTTATCGATATTTGATAATCGATATAAGAATATCGAATGGAATATCGATAGTGCAAAGCGACATAGTCAATCAACTTCATCGTGCTTTTCTGGAAGTGAAAAGTTCGTAGCGAAAAATAATTAGCTTTCGCATCGCTTTTTATTAATGAATTGACACATTGTGTAGATAAAAACTCTTGTAGGGACTGTGACCCCGATGTCGACGATATAATTAATCGACTTGCGGTTCGATAATTTTTGCGCGCGTACTTATCGCGTAGTTATCGCTGAATGTTGAAATGTTTATTTTGACGCAACTTTCGTCGCTATTTGAAGTTGGTCGTAAAAAGTATTTCCTCGTGTTTCATATATATATTTTCTTGACTTAGATTATAATTATATAAATTTTTGTTGCACAGATTAGTAGCGCAGACGATGTTGTGAGGCAGTTCTTGTGGAAGGATAGACATTTGTTTAAACATAGTGAAAAAAATTAGATTTATTCATCTAATTACTTAACAATCTTCACTTAATCTGATTATAAGAAGATGTTAGTCTTCATACTTTTGATATGTATTGCGGGTTTTTCTTATTATCTTATGACACTGGACAAAATTCGCAATCATAGCTGTCTTAATCTAATTACAATTTGTTACTAATTTACTATCTTTTCATAATCTGCAGCAGTCTGTCATATACCAACGTTGGTGCATCTTTGGCCCATAAAAAGTCAATGTGATTAAATTTAGGAAATGACACTCTATATGTATCCAGTACATTGGTCAGTGAATTATAAAGCCTTTTCACATCCTTGAAAAAAAAAGGTTAAAATTTAATTTACATATCATAGTTAACGCAAGACAATGTTAAATCTATGTCCGTCTCACATCTCTTCAGCAGAAAAATATGTCAATCAAGGGAATAAAGAAAGTTATTTAAAAAGTTAAAGTGAACAAGTTCAAATAAGGAGCTAAGAAAAAGAAAGCAAGAATGACATCTTATTTTAGATCTGTAAGTTATTTTAAAATATAATTATTAAGTTATTTATTTTTTACTCATTTCTTTAATCTTTTTTTTTTTACTTTTATTATTTGTAAAATTCTTATTATTTATAATTAACACGCAATTAATTTTATAATTTGAATATCTAATTCCGCTACTCACTATTACATTGTTTAGCCAATCGTTATCCGCATAAAACAGCGCGATCGGCGTCGTGATATTCGATAGATTGTAATCCGGCGGTTGCGGTGCCTTATAAATCTGCATATTTTTCTTACGGCCGTAATCATATTGGCGGAATTTGCCCGACCTTATCTCTTGGAGGAAGTGTATCATTGTCTTAGTCGAGGTGCCAGCCGGATCGTGACTCAGAATTGTGGGCAATAACGTCTAGAAAACAAAAATAATATGAAACTCAACTTTGACACATGAGTGGAACGTGACACTCATAGTTGAACCTTAATCACTATTCTCAGAATGCTCACATAATTAAACTGCTCTTTATCGAAGCCACAGATTAGAAATAGCACATTGCTGCAGATTTTTTCTTTGAAGAGGTCGGCGTCACAGCCGTATCCTGCTAGAATCCTCAGAATGGTGCTCTGCGGCAGAAATTCATTCGCGCCTACAAAACGCGCAATTATCTGCAATAAAGAAAATCTCTTGTATACATTGTAGACTAATTGTAATTTGATTTTTTCAGGTATTGGAGGATATTTGGAAATAAACAAATATGGGGCACACTGAAATTATTGGCACAAAGGAATTGAAAACTAGATCAAACAAGTCAACTTACCCCCAAATAATTAGCAAAACGGGCCAAATAATGTAACGGGCTTTTCATATGTTCTACAAAGGCTATAGGCGCGAGGCTGATCATCCTTCCTATCATTGCAGCGCTTTCCGGACGCTCCACTGCCATCACATAAAATGCGGTTGTGCCCATCGAATGACCGATGTAAGTATGCAATGGTTGCGCCGTTATATTCGTGATATACGTAATCATCGCGGGAAGATCGTAGATCCCCATTTCGTGAAAACTAATGGAATACAATTTGGCGCAATAATATAGATAGAATATCGTAAAGCCATTGCGCTTGATACTAAATTAAATCGGATATGTAACTACATTATTTTAACGCGTTATTAATTTTATTTCATATCAGTGTGAGTACCTGAAATCCCAAAATTGCGCGTTTGACGACGAGGGCGACAGAGAAATGTGCGCCCTTGAGTAGGTGTTACCTCGAAAATTGCCCAACCAAATATCGTATCCTTGATCGGCTAATATATAAGCTGCCATCCAGAAAAAACATCGTTGAACATATGTACACATTTGTAATATAATCTTGATATATATTATATTTTTGTAAATTTTTTTAGAAGATTAGAACTGGATTAACTTCCCAACAAATATATACGATTTTATCGTATAAATTAAAATGGTGGATCGCAGGATATCATTTGAATATTAATTAAGAAATCGTACCGAGTGCTTTACCCCTGCCGAGGATGACCCAGTCGGCGGAGCTGCACAAAAGACCGTGTTGCAGCAACACGGGTGGAGAGTTTTTGCTACCTGGAATACGATGCAACGTTAGGAGATAGCCATCCTCTGTCAATGCAATATGAGCTTCCGCAGGATAACCCGCTTTTCTTATCATTTGCAGCTGGAAGAAAGATTGGTAAGCATATATTAATAAATCGTACTCTCAATCGATTAAAATTAAGTCCAATATTTGTGCGATAAGATGTGATATTTACTTGCTAAATAATAAAGCATGATTTAAACTCTTTTTACACCAAACATTAATATTTAATTAATGTAAAGAATAATTGTTAAAATTTAGAATAAGATCAAAACAATATTGTTTTACTAATCAAATGTGTTATTATATGGATCATTTTTAGAAATTGTACAAGATAGATCTCTTCATCATAATTAATATTGGGTGTATTATTTCGCGGAGTCATGAATTGACTTTGGAAAGGCGATAATCGGTGTTAAATTATTTTGTTATCTACAGCAGTGAAAATTGAACCAATTAAACTAATGAAAATTTCAATTTTTACTTCCAGAAGTGAAAATATTCGCTTACCGTATTGAGGTTGACGTCGGTATTGTACTTGTCATTGCCCAACTCTATGTTTATTTGCGTAATATTAATGAATGAAGAGTCTTGTGAGATGGCAAACGTTTCAAAACTCTCTGCACTGATGAATTTGCAGAGCGATAAGAAGATCGCGATTACAGTTTGCCACATTGTCAATAAAGGACTTAGCAACTTAATTCTTCCGGAATATCCTGATACACCAGTACAAGAAAAGAGATGATAAGCGAGAAATATAGCAGTGTGCAACTGAACTGGTTTGCAAACTTTGCTTTACATACTACGGAACGCTAATGAATTGCCATTTCGTTGAAGGTTGTTTTTTATCATAGGGAGGGGTAGAGTGCGGAAAAGAGGAAACAACCGTCACATCATTAGTCATGTCGTGATAGATTATATATAAAAAATATTTACGAGGCACATAATTATCGGAACTATGACAACAGACGCGCGAATCACTCACACGTTTGACATTTTTTATTAAATTTGCATCGATGTACTATTTATCTTTGCCGCGTCAAATTTGTTGCAAGTTCTTTGTTAAAGAGATAAGTGTATTAATGTTTTAAAAAAATGAAACAAAATACTGCAGTTCTTAACAAAAATATTAACATAAATGGTTAATTCAAAGTAAAGTTTCTTTCACAAACATTCTACATTTAATTTCGTGTAAATTTTATATAAATAAATTTTTAATTACAGATATATATGATGTTGAGAAAAATGTGAAAATAAATGGCAACTAATTTTTAATTAATTCAACAACTTTTATTAATGTCGATACAAATATTTTAAGGTATTTATATTATTCATCTCTCTTCATTAATTACATTTACCTTAATTTAGTATGAATTTTTAGTATTAGTTTAAATATTTTATGTCTATTTTATTTTTTTAATTTTATCTATGTATGCAGTTATTGAGTATTACTGATGTTTAACATTTTAGGAAAACTATGGATTCGAACTACTGTCACTAGATAAATAATTAGAAAAAAGTATTTGTTAAAGATATATACCTAGATTTTGAGTGTGAAAATAACCTTTGCAAAAGCTTGCTAGGTGAGAGACTTCGTGGAAACTCGTTTTCCGCACAAACAAAACACAAATCGTTAAATCGCAAGCATTTCAAAACACTGACAGCTGATATTACACCGTATCAGCGATATTTCAATTAAGCAAGGTTTGTTAAAATTTACACAGTTTTTGATTCCGATTCCATTGTATCACAGAATTTACATAATTATAAATTTAGAATCGGCGAAGTCAGACGCCGGTTAACCTCTAGTTGATCTGCTAGATATATATAAACATTAAGATTGTATCACAATTATGTATGTTCCTTATTTATACGCCTTCATGCACTGCGATAGAAAAGAGGAATATATAAAAAAATGTATTAATATAACTTTATAAAAATTATTTTTTTTGTTGATAGAATAAAATAGCAGGATAAATAAAATTATGCTCCCTGTTGGACCAACTTAAAACATTCTCATTTAATCAAAATGGAAAATTGTAACAGGGATTGTCAATAATTTTACTGTTATTATTAGAAGAATAATAACAATCCTTTGCAGTATTCTGTTAGACTTTAAAAGCAGAATAGCCACAATTTCTACACTTTATAATGGGTGTAAGTCAATTAATCCAGAGCTATCAATTTCCATGAGTCATGACAACAAAATCAGGATTTGGATATGTTAAACTTGGAAATCTCATTTAATAATGTGAGTAACAGAGTATGGTAAAAATAAACTAAACATGCGCAGTAATTTGCAAGCATGAAAAACAAATGAATTCTGAATAGAAGCAAGCATCTAATTATTTACACAGTCATCATTCTTTATTTTTGTTAACATAGGAGAGTGAAGCAGTTGTAATAGTTGATTTATTAACCAATAATAACAATATGCATATACAGTGCCTTCGAAGGAACTTCTATATATAGTATGTTACAACGTGAGGCTCTTAAAATGATACTGCTGGATGGACTAGCATGTAAAGATGAAACATTAACTTAAGAAATAGAGGTGAGATAAAACTATAACATTTGTATATTTCATGTAAATTTTATGTTAAAAAATATATAAAAAGTTATTAAGTACATGATTTTACAGAATGTAGAAAGAAATGTGTGAAACACATTACACGCACCATTAATACAAAAGTATGTGGAGAAAGCAGTGTCATATTCAATTTGCGTACTTAAAACTTATGAAATTATGAAAGGACTTCTAAATGCCAAAATCAAGGGGCTTACATACTTGTTCGATTTTGAATTGAATATCTTGGACAGAGGAAACTATATGCCTAAAAGAGGTAACAAGACTTGATGTTTTCCTTTGCACCAAGTCTCCTAAATTCATAAAGCTTCATATCAGGATAAACTATTTAAACTAATGCACTAGTTGCATATCAAAAAATTTATTTGACGTGCTTTTACTTAAAGTATTTAATTGCCTCCTTGAACAATTCTACTTTGACACAATCTATTCAACAAAGAAGCAATTAGCGACAAGATGACAAAGATTACTGAAAGTTATGCAATGTGTGTAATAAAATATGTATCAAAATGCAGTCCGATTCGGTACCGACTAGATATTTTTTCTATATTTGATACAAGAATATTAGTAGAAGAAAGAAACGTGAGGATCAATCAGTTTTACCTGAAGCGAGATGATTTATACTGTAAGATGATTGGCTAGTAGTTTCTTACTATACATTGATGCATTCTGTGGATTGCGCTTTAATGTCGACTTTTCGATCAATCGAATCGCAGTTGGTTTTGCGCGATTATCGGCAAGTTAGAATTAGATCTGTTTATTAAATACTCTTATTTAACGCAAATATAAAAAGATAGTAACTTTTATATTTTCTGTCTATTTTGCCGCTTTTCTTGCCGTCTACTGCGATATAATGACAGAAACAACAATCACTTAAAGGCGTATTGTTTTAATTTAATTGTTTAAGGATAAAAAAATAATGTGAGCTAAACAACTTTCCGTAGAAATTTCCGATTTACCTGGTTCAAATTATAATTTGTTATTAATTCACTTTCCTTTTCTATGATCTCTATTATTTTATTATACACCAGCGTAGGTGCGTCTTTGGCCCACAAGAAGTCGATGTGATTGAATTTGGGATGTGGCACCCTGTAGTCATCCACTATATTGGTCAGCAAGCCACGAAGCCTATTTATGTACCTTGAAAAACATTCAATTATTTGCATACAGTTAACACAAAGTAATCTTAAAACCTGCATCTATCCCGATTTTTTTAACAGCAGATAAAAAACTCCAAATCAAAGAAGTAAAGCATATTAGTAAAAAAGTCATTGTTAAGAAGAAGTTACGTTTAATGCATGATTATCTCTACAATTTGCATATATTATTCCACTGCTTACCTTTTTAGTAGCTAACTGGTCATTATCGGCATAGATCAGCGCGATCGGCACTGTGATGCTCGATAAATTATAGTCGGGTGGTAGCTTCGCATTGTAGATACGTAGATTTTTATTTTCTCCGAAATCGTATGCGCAAAACTTGCCCGACTTTATTTCCTGACTGAAGTGCAATAAGGTTCTTGTTGAAGTGCCGGACGGATAGTGAGCCAAAATCAAGGGTAACAAAGTCTAGAAACACAGACAATAGGAAATGCAATTTTCAAACTTGATAACATGAGTAAAATTACGATCGGAACTGCATTTTCATCCAGGTATTCACGGAACACTTACATAATTGAACTGCTCTTTGTCGAAGCCGGCGATTGTGAAAATAATGTTACCGCAGATCTCTTTTCTAAAGAGATCGATATTGCATCCGTATCTCGCCAGAATATGCCAGATTACACTGTTCTGCGGTATAAATTCATCTGCACCAAAAAACCTCGTAATCATCTGCAATGGAAAATCTTTTTTTTTTTCACGTGATAAAACTTAATTATAATTTAATTCTGCAAATTTTCAGTGGATGCTTTAGATATAGATATATAAGTTTGAATCACATTTTAAGAAATAATTGAGATAAATTTATACAAATTATATATTCTAATCTTAATTTCAAGATTATTGCCATCGAAGAATCTCTCGTTAAAATTCATCGAAAAGCTGGATCAAGCTAATTAGCTTACCGCGATAGAGCTTGTAATTGGAGCGAAAAATCGCAACGGGCTTGTCATGTTTCCTGTGAAGGCTACAGGCGCGAGGCTGATCATCACTTTCACCATTTTAGCGATTTCTGGACGTTTTATTGCCATCACGTAAAAACTGGTCGTGCTCATCGAATAACCGACGTAAGTATGCAACGGTTGCGATGTCACACTCATGATATGCAATATTGTCGCGGGAAGATCGTAGATGCCCATTTCGTCAAAGCTAATAGAATTTCGATTCGGCACAATAGAGTAGAAATGGAAAGCGCATTTGTGTACAATACTAACATAAGTTCAATTGGACATTCGCTATGATTACATTATTTTCAACGCGCTATCAGTTTTATTTAATTTATTTTTGTGAGTACCTGAAATCCCAAAATTTCGAATCTGACGGTGACAGAAAAATGTGCGCTCTTGAATAGGTATTACCACGAGAGTTGCCCAACCAAACGTCGTATCCTTGATCGGCTAATATGAAACCTGCAATAAGGATGTTGTTCGCATGTATGCATTTTTCTCATACGACTCGTACATTTATAATAGATCTTGATACGTGTATATTTTCACATTTCCGTATATTAATATATATTTTTTTGTAGATAAAAATGGGAATAATTTGCACACAATAAGAGAATAGATATGGAGAACAGTGAAATTTTGTATATGAAATTTGGCAAGTAAAATTCCATCATAATTTTCAACCACTTGAAAATTAGTTTAAAAAATCATACCGAGTGCTTTATCCCTGCCAGATACGATCCAGTCGATGGAGCTGGACAAAAGACCGTGTTGCAGTAACACGGACGGAGAGTTTTTCCTACCTGGAATACGATGCAACGTTAGGAGATAGCCATCCTCTGTCAATACAATATGAGCTTCCGCAGGATAACCCGCTTTTTTTATCATTTGCAGCTGGAAGAAAGATTGGTAAGCATGTATCAATAAATCGTACTCTCAACCAATTAAAATTAAGTCCAATATTTGTGCGATAAGATATATGAGATATTTATTTGCTAAACAATAAGCGTGGTTTAAACTTTTTTTATACTAAACATTAATATTTAATTAATATACAGAATAATTGTTAAAATTTAGAATGAGATCAAAATATTATTTTACTTATCAAATGTGTTATTATATGGATCATTTTTAGAAATTGTACGAGATAGATCTTTTCACCATAATTAATATTGGGTGTATTATTTTGCGGAGTCATTAATTGACTTTGGAAAGGCGATAATCGATGTTAAATTATTAATTAATTATTATTAATTATTAATTATTTTTTTACCTATAGCATTGAAAATTGAACTAATTAAACTAATAAAAATTTTAATTTTTAAAATCAAAATTCTTATAATATTAAGGCTCCGAAGATGTAAATCAATTTAAGAAAATAAACAGCAAAAGAGCCAGTGTTGATTGTTCGTACATGTATTTGACTTTATCGTTGACATAAACTATAAACAAATGTTTCTGCCTATATTAGGCTCCCCTCAGTGTTATCGAAATAAAACTTTTAAAAAATTACAGTTATACGCTTTATTTTATAATTATCATACTGTGTCGTATGCATCGACTAACAAAACCGCAGCGCACAATTGTTTTTATTTCGATAACACTGAGGAAAGCCTGATATAAGCAGAAACATTTGTTTATAATTTATGTCAACGATAAAGTCAAATACATGTACGAGCAGCCAACATTGGCTGCTTATTTTCTTAAATTGTTTTAATTTTTACTTCCAGAAGTGAGAACATTCGCTTACCGTATTGAGGTTGGCGTCGGGATCGCACTTGGCATTGTTCAACTTTATGTTTATTTGCGCAATATTAATTAATGAAGAATTTTCTGAGATATCGGACGTCTCAGAACTCTCTACGCTGAGGAGTCCGCAAAATGACAAAAACAGCGCGGTTGCAGTCGGCCGCATTGTCAATAAAGGACTCAGCAACTTAATTCTTCCGGAATATCCTGATACACCAGTACAAGAAAAGAGATGATAAGCGAGAAATATAGCAATGTGCAACTGAACTGGTTTGTAAACTTTACTTTACATACAACGGAACGCTAATGAATTGCCATTTCGTTGAAGGTTGTTTTTTATCAATAGAGAGAGACAGAGTGGGGAAAAGAGGAACCAACCGTCACATTGTTAGACACATATCAAATAATTATTGCGATAGAATATTGTATGAGGAAATATATTTACAAGGCACGCGATTGTCGGAATTATGACAATAGATACGCATAAATCACTTATACGTTTTATTAAACTAATAAATGCTCACGCGCTTGCCAAATGTCTAAGTATTCTAGCACTCGCTCACACATACATATTACAATTATATCACACATCGATTATAATTCCCTTAACAAAATATATTTGAAGATACATGCATGATTGAAAACAAGTAATTAAACATAATTAAATTTAAAACATAATTGAATATATATGCATTTGCAAAACACCTCAATGTTCCTTTGCGTGTATTAAAAAGTGCTAAGAAAGCAATTATTTGATATAAAAATATTCATCTTAATTGCATAAAATTAATAATAAACAATAGAATTATAATAATTCTAAAAAGACAGAAGAAAGATATGAATATTATACTAGAAAAAGTATTAAAACTGTGGTGAATATTGAGTCAATTACTCAAAAGACAATGGGTATTAGATCTCTTTTTTTTTACTTATAATATCAAACGTCGAACCAATTAAATTAATATACATTTAATTTTTTTAGGAGACAAAGTTTGCTTATATTGAGATTAACATTGACATTATATATATATTCTTGACATCATTCAGCGTAGTCAGTAAAAGTTCTTGCAAAAGTAATGTATGTCACGGTTACCATCGCTGGACTGAAGAATCCGACAGAACGACAAGAAATGAATATTCGATCGGCCACATCATCGACAGAGGATCCAGCGAAGAACACGAAATCTTTCCGAATATTTTGATAAAAGAACTTATTGGAATCAAAAGGCAAGAATTTGCAAAATGCAACAGAACTTTGTTATGGACTTCACTGCATATGCAACGGAGTGCCGATTAATAGCTATTACGTTGAAGATTGGTTTTTGTTAATTGAGAGTGAAAAAATGGAGCAAAGAATTAAAAAATAGTCGTTACATACATTTATACATTTAATAAACGTTATTAAACGTACTATTAATGTTATCGAATTCATAATCATATGGTACTAAAGTATTTAAGTATGAAAATATATTTCAAGACACAATATATATGTACATAATTACGATGGCATATAAATTTATCACATATTGTTTACGCAATGATAAGCATACTTCATTCTTTTGAATTTTTGCATTTTGTGAACTAATCGCCTTTCCACGTATCTTGTTCACTTTTTATAACTTTTAAAATATTTTTCTCAAACTTGAAACATTTAAGATTGATTTTACACTAGTTGAGAGCTAAAAATATTGTAAGTTAAACTACTTTCCGTCGAAATTTACAATTTTCTGGCATTATAATTCGTTACTAATTCACTTTCTTTTTCATAATCTCTAGTATTTTTTCATACACCAGCGTACGTGCGTCTTGGGCCCACATGTAGTCGATGTGATTGAATTTGAGGGATGGCAGTCTATAATCATCCACTATATTGGTCAGCAAATCACGAAGAATCTTCACATCCTTGAAAAAGTATTCAAAATTTAATTTATATGTCACAGTTAATACAAAACAACTTTGAAATTGCATGTATCGTATATCTCTTCAGTAGCACAAAAATGCCAATCAAAAAGATAAAGGAAGTTATTTATAAAATTATAATGAAGAAGAAAAAGAGAGTTAAATTTCAGCAATGATAACATAAAGAGCCCGACAGAAAGAAAGCAAGAATGGCTTTTTATCTCAGATTGGTAAGTTATTGTCTCTAAAAAAATATATTTAGTTATTTATTTTTTATTAGTATCCTTTATAGTTTCTTTTGATTTTTAACTTGTTATTATTCATAGTTAATGCATCTTTGTACAGATTAATCATTCAATTATATACTACTTACCTTTTCAGTAGCAAGCAAGTCATTATAAGCATAAATCAGCGCGATCGGCACTGTGATACGCGATAAATCGTAATCGGGCGGTATCGTCGCATTGTACATCTGCATATTTTTTTCACGACCGTAATCGTATGCACAGAACTTGCCCGAGATCATTTCCTGACCGTAATGTATCAGGGTTTTTGTTGAAGTGCTGGACGGAAAGTGAGCCAGGATCACAGGCAGTAAAGTCTAGAGAGCGTGAACAATATGAAATACAACCTTGAAGTTTGATGACATGAATATTAAAACTGCATTACATTATCGGCATTATCGGCATTATCGGCACGGAATACTTACATCATTCAACTGTTCTTCGTCGAAGCCACAGATCAGGAAAATTATGGTACTGCAGATCTGTTTTGTAAAGAAATTGACATTGCATCCCATTCTCGCTATATTCCGAAATACACCGTCCAGCGGTATGAAGTCATGTACGCCTAAAGAATACAGGATAGCCTACAATGGAAAAATTTTTTTTCACGTCAACTAATTGTAAATTAATTTTCTAATAAGTTTCCAGCGGAGCCTTTCGGCATAAATACAAAGATGAAAATAAATACATAGATTTGAAGCACATCTTAAACTAATTGACATAAATTTGTACAGTGCAAATTACTCTGATCTTACCTTTCAGATTATTATCATTGAAAAATCTCTTAAAATTCATCGAAAGCTAGATAAAGCTAAATAGCTTACCTCGATGGAATTTTTGAAAGGAAGGAATATTTGCGCCACGCTCCTTAAATTCCTTACGAAGGCAACAGGCGCGAGGCTGATCATCACTCTGACCATTTTAGCGACTTCCGGGCGTTTTATTGCCATCACATAAAAAGTGGTCGTGCCCATCGAATGACCGATGTACGTATGCAATGGTTCCGACGTCAGATTCGTGATATATGAAATAATCGCGGGAAGATCATACGTGCCCATTTCGTCAAAGCTGCCGGAATTTGATTCGACAGAATATAATATAATTAGACCGTCGTGAAGTCATTATGCGCTTGAAACTGAATTAAATATTCGTTGCAACTACACATTATTTATTGCAACTACATAACTTTATTTTTCTTTGTCGTCAGTACCTGAAATCCCAGAATTTCGGGTCCGACGGCGATAGAGAAATGTGCGCCTTCGAGTAAGTGTTCCCGCGGAAGTTGCTCAACCAAACGTCATATCCTTGATCGGCCAGTATGAAAGCTGGCGTGCAGACAGAATGTCGTTTGCAAATGTTTTTTCTTATACGTTTCGTATATTTATAATAGATTTTGATAGTATTTTAGCATTTTTGTGTAGTAATATTTATATTTTGCATATTCAAATGTGAATAACTTATCGATAAAACCATTTGCTTTTGTCGGACAAGTTAAATAAAAAATTCTGATACGCTTGTGAAAAAGCAGTAAATTGTTGCATACAAAATTTGGTAAGTAAAAACAAGAGACAGACAGTTTACTTTGCCTTTTTTTTTTTTGTAATTTGAAAACTTAATATTCTTTCGATGACAGCGCAGTCGAAGGTGGATCTCAAGATACTCTTTGCAGATTAATTAAGAAATCGCACCTAATGCTCTTTGTTTGCCGATTACGACCCAGTCTGCAGAGCTGCATAAAATACCGTGTTGCACTAAGACTGGTGGAGAATTTTTGGCACCTGGAATACGATGTATCGTTAACAGATAGCCATCCTCCGTCAACACAACATGAGCCTCTGCAGGATAACCCGCTTTTTTGATCAGCTCCAACTGTAAAAAGGATCGGTAAATACATATTCAGGAATAATTTTATGATCAATCGTTGCGCAACACTGCGTGTTGTTTGTGAATGGTGTTGATTGACAATTCTTACACTTTGTACGAGCACTTACGTTGCACAAGAAATTATTGCACAACATGTTTGATCGTGAATGGGTCCATTTAGTAAATACATCACTTGCAGAACTTTATTTCCAAAAATTGCAAAACATGTCAATCTTCCTTTGCATTGCATGATATTAAAAAGTGCTAAGAAAACATCAGCAATGCATATGAAAATATTTATATTAATTTCAGAAAATAAATGATAAGTAATTAAATTAATTCAAGTAATAAAACTGTGGTTAATATTGAGTAAGTTTTTGACGTTTGAAAATCGACACTGGTTGTAAGATTTCTCATTTTTCTACTTATAGTATCAAACATTAAACGAGCATTAAGTTAATGAAGATTTTAATTTTCTCGGGAGACTGAAGATTTGCTTACCGTGTTGAGATTGACATCGACATTCTCGATATCATTCAGCGCAGTCGACAAGAGTTCTTGCAAGTTGTTGAATGTCACATTTACCGTCGCTGCACTGAGGAATCCGCAAAGCGTCAAGAAATAAACGATTGCCGTTGGCTGCATCATTGACAAAGGATTAGAGAAGAACACAGTCTTTCGGGATATTTTGGTAAAGAAATTTTATAAAATTATTGAAATTAATAGGGCGGAATTTGCAGAATGCAATTGAACTTTGTTGTCGACTTCGCTGCATATGCATCAGAGAGCTAATGAATTGCCATTCCGTCGAAGATTTGTTTTTTAGTTCAGAATAAAAGAGTGGGGGAAAGAATAACAAAATAATCATTACAAATAACTCATTGTTAAACGTGCTGTTAATGTCATTAATTAGTGAATTGTCGTTGCTACAAAGATCGCAATTCGCGATTTTTCTAAAAAGTTAAACACACGCATACAACTGTGTAACAATTTTATTTTCAATTTTCGCTTTTAATTTGGATATTTTTCTTAAGAAAAAATAAGTCTTAAATATTTCAAATTTCGTGGAAAGAAGATAAGTCTACGAAATGCAAACATAAATAGAAATGAAACAAGCTTATCATTACGCAAACGGAAATAAAATATGTAATAAATTTTGGGCATCGTAATTAAACACACATATAGTTCAATTGTGTTTTACTTCAAGTTTAATTATATGTTGAAATACATTTTCATATGTAAATATTTTAGTATTACATGATTAAATTTTAATAAAAGGAAATTTGCAGCATTTTATATCGCAACCGCATAAAAGCCATTCAACATTCAAAGTTGCGATGCTCTATTTAGATGCGAACTTCGTCGATTTTCTAATATATAGGAACATATTAGGATAATATTAGGTTTTTCACTCTGTTTATATCGCCATTTTTATTACCATCCATGGGCGTCCACAGGGGGAGGCAAGAGGGGGCATTTGTTTCCCCCCTGGAATCAGAGAAAAAAAATTCAGCATTTACTTTCCCGTTTTTATTAAATCCATTTACTCTCCCGTTTTTTGTTGTATTGATCAAAGACGTCGTCCAAATTGCATATTAAGCAAAAAAAAAAATATAAAAAATATAAAAAAGTAAAAAAAAAATACAAATGTCTTTCTCGACTTACACTTACCTTGTCGCGCTGAGAAAGCTTTTACAACTAAGAGGTGTATTAATTTAAATTTATATATATTGTATGCTAATTCGAAAAATAATATTTTGGATCATGTCCACCCCTAGAAAAAATCCTGTGGACGCCCTTGTTACCGTCTATCGCGATAATGGTAAAAACGATCATTTAAACGCGTGTATTAGATATTTTTAGGCGACTGTGTTTTAGGCCAAAAATATTATAAGTGAAACTATTTTTTGTCGAAATTTACAATTTTCCGGCATTATAATTTGTTATTAATTCACTTTGTTTTTCACGATTTCTAGCACTTTTTCAAACACCAGCGTAGGTGCGTCTTTGGCCAACAAGAAGTCGGCGTGATTGAATTTGGGAAATGGCACTCTGTAGTCTTCCACTATATTGGGAAGCGAGTCACGAAGTATCTTCAAGTCCTAGAAAAAGTATTGAAAATTTAATTTACATATGACATTTAATACAATACAACATTAAACCTGCATGTCGTATATCTCTTCAATAGCAGAAAAATGCAAATCAACGAAATAAGGAAATTATATAAAACAAATAACAATGTATTAAGAAGAAGAAGTTCAGTTCAGCAATGTATTAAGAGCTCTATAAATGAAAGCAAGAATGGCATTTTATCTTAGATTGGTAAATCATTCTCTATGGAAAAATATATTTAGTTATGTATTTTTTATTAGTATTCTTTATTTTTTTTTATTTTTTGACATGTTATTTTAATTATCTGTGGGATTATTATTATTTTTAATTAATGCATATTTTTTTGTATAATTTAATTATCTAATTTTCTGCTTACTTTTTCATTAACGATCCAGTCGTTATCGCTATGAATCAGTGCGATCGGCACTGTGATACGCGATAAATCGTAATCGGGCGGTATTGTCGCATTGTAGATCTGCATATTTTTTTCTCGACCGTAATCGTATGCGCGAAACTTGTTCGAGCTTACTCCTTGAACGAAATGCGCCATGGTTTTTACTGAAGTGCCGGACGGAAAGTGAGCCAAGAGCATAGGTAATAAAGGCTAGATAGCATAAACATTATGAAATACAATCGCGAAGCTTCATGACACAAATATTGTTTGAAACGACGATTAAAACTGCGTTACATTCTCGACACTCACGGAATACTTACATAATCGAACTGTTCATCGTTAAAGCCGTTGATTAAGAAAACTATGATACCGCAGATCTGTTGTGTGAAGAGATTGACGTTGCATCCCACTCTCGCCAGATACAGCAATACACTGTTCTTTGGCAAGAATTCATTTATGCCTAAGAATCGCAAGATTGCCTACAATGGAAAATATTTTTATCTCTTTTCATGTCATGCGAGCTAACTGCTACATTAATTGAGCAAGTTTCTAGCGGACTCTTTCTGCATAAGTACAAAAATGAAGATAAGTACAATAATTTAAGAACATCATAAACTAACGTATATAAATTTATGTAGTGCAAATTACTCTGATCTTATTTTTTAGATTATTGTCATTGAAATTATGGTCATCCAACATCTATACTTTTATCGAAAACTGGAGCAAGCTAATTAGCTTACCTCGATGGAGCTTGTATAAGGAGCAAACAATCGCAACAAGCTTGTCATATTTCCTACAAAGGCTACAGGCGCGAGGCTGAT